GTCCCTCCTAACATTCCTATCAGACCTAAAGGGTCTGGTATAAATTGTGGGGGAACCTCCCGCTTTTTTTTCCATCTTCTGAAAACAAAAACAAAAAAATAGTGTTTTTTTCCTAATGTCATTTTGCTGCAACGAAATTCCGTCCATAAACGAAATTTTGACCGGACTACCGCTAACGAATTTCGGGAAAACGGATTTGTTTGTATTAGTTTTAGCTGTAATTCGGATACATCCGAATCTCCGAAATTTCGTCCAAATTTCGTTTTGGAACTAAACGAATCGCACATGTCTATTGAGAACACAACCCTCCATGTTCCTCCTGAAGAAGTCTACAAAATGTGTTGAGAACAAAACCCTCCATGTTCCTCCTGAAGAAGTCTACGACATGTGTTGAGAACACAACCCTCCATGTTCCTCCTGAAAGTCTACGAAATGTGTTGAGAACACAACCCTCCATGTTCCTCCTGAAGAAGTCTACGACATCTTTTGAGAACACCACCTTCCAGGTTCCTCCTGAAAAAGTTTACAAAATGTGTTGAGAACACCACCTTTCATGTTCCCCTTGAAGAAGTCCATGAAACACGCAGAGAACCTATAACAGCTTTAAACCCTGTGATTTAGATATTTATAAAAACATCTGTAATATCAGTGTATGGATTTTCCCTGTGCCTCTGGGGTAGGGGATATTAACTGGACTGGAGAAATCTGCAATGGTTGTTCTTCATCTTTGATTTTTACATATTTTGACCCGGGATACATTTTTTTTTTTGACAGCTGCACATGTACAATAAAACTTCACTGATATCAAAACTTCAGTGTAACAATTTTCAACATCACAGTTTTAGGGAGTACAAACATCACATGAAACAAGGAACATAGTACAGTAATACCTTGGTTTACAAGTAACTTGGTTTGAGAGCGTTTTGCAAGACAAGCAAACATTTCTGAAAAATTTTGCCTTGATATACAAGCAAATGTCTTGCAATAAGAGCAAAATTTTGTAGAAAAGCGCCACCCGAATAAGGCTGTAGCTGTGTGAGCGATGAGTCTGTTTAACGACAATGCAATGTCACATTGAATAGATTCCTTGTTAAGGTTTCACGAAATGAAAAAGATTCCATTGAGTCAAGAGATAGCAGTGATTCCGTTAGTGATAGTGAAAGTCGTCCTACACAATAATCCTCCTCTCTCTCGTCCAACTCACACCAACCACAAAGGTATGGGTAATTGGTTTATTTGTCTTTATATTTTGTACAGTATTATATTACAGTACAGTATTGTAATCATTTGTATATGAATATTTTTGGGTGGTGGAACGAATCATCTGAATTTCCATTATTTCCTATGGGGAAGTTCGCTTTGATATACAAGCGCTTTGGATTACAAGCATGCTTCCGGAACGAATTATGCTCGTAAACCAAGGTATTACTGTACAAGACATAGGGAGAGAGGGAGGACTTCCAAAGGCCGGTTCGGATTGATTCGTTAGAAACAACATAACGGTAATGCACAATATTTTGGCAGAAGATGTTGCCCTTCCAGGCAATAGGTACAATACATGGCATGTAGACCGTGGTTGATTATGGGAACCATCCTGGGCTCGTATCATCAGACCATCGGAAAGAGATGGCTAGGGAAGGACCAGAAGAGAGAAGAAAAAAAAAGGAGAGAGGGAAGTAGAAAGTAGAGAGGGTAAGGATGAAAGTAGAAGGGAAGAGGTTGGGTGGTCATGAAAATAGAAGAGATAACTTTCTAGTAGGTCATGGGTGGGGGTACTGATTTCAAATGGAGATCAGGCGTCTATTAAAGGTAGCTGGTAGGAAATGATGTACCCAGGGGGACCAAATAGTTTTGAATTTCCCCATAGAGTTGTCTAATTGAGCTGATCTCTTTTCATGGGACATGATCCAAGATATATATTGTTTGGTTCTAGAGATACTAAGAGTAGGGGATTTCCATGATATAGCTATTTCATGTTTGGCCGCTGATAGTACCTGCAGTATAAGTTTCCGTTTGACTGAGGGGAACCGTATGGGGAAGTTATTAAGGAGAGCTAGTGAAGGGTTGTTTGGTACAGCTTCATCGTTGAGGATCGCAATCATACGGAAAATTTGATCCCAAAATCTAGAGGCTATGGGACAGGACCACCACGTGTGATAGTAAGTACCATGTTCAGGACATCCTCTAAAGCACAATGGGGAGTGTTGAGGCGCAAAAGAGGCTATTCTAGTAGGGACCATATACCACCGTAGAATAACTTTGTAAATGATTTCCAAAATATTGGTATTTTGTGAGCATGATTTGGTGTTCTTCCAAATGCGTTGCCAGTCATCGTCACTGAGAATAAGACCAATATCCTGTTCCCACTTCTGAACATAGGAGGGAGGGGGGTAAGTACCAGAGAAGAGTAGTGAGGAGTGGGTTTAGATCTATATTTAATACACTTATACAGAGGCGCATCCACTGATCTAACTTGGGCATTTGTACAACACGCTGGTGTACAAAACCCTTGCACAGGCAAAGCCACAACAAGCTGTGGTTATTGTGCTCGCCAAAGTGGCCTACATTAGCACGCAGGGGAGTTTCCATTATTCTGTCCACACTCACCACCCATGCTACCAATAGCCTCGCATGACCCCTTACTCCTCAACTCCCACCAAAGGGTGGGCGGAGCTAAGGGCGAAAGACCCACCCCATCCAATCCTAGAGGATGCGCCTGCCATAGTGCACGTGAGAATACAAGCGTGCGGCTGAGTCACCACGTGACTTGGAGCTGAAGCTTTTGCAGCCACCTTGTAACCGGGCATGTAAAGTTCCAGCGCTGAGAGAACACAGAAGACTGACCTACAACAATAAACACGACTCTTTTCCCTGTTGTGGGTCAGCTCTCTTTCTCAGGCTAGCAGTATGTCTTCGCTTATGGCTTCTCATCGATAACATCTCCTCACAAGCTGTTTACCGTCTTACACGCTCTAGGCTTTCGCACACCCCGATAACCAATCGCTGCTTTCCCTCAGAGTGATTGACATGTGTTACTCCAGCCACGCCCCGGCTTACATATTTGCATTCGGACTCCCATTGGTCGCCTTGTCTCAAAGGCTTGGGCGTGGCTTTCTCCCCCTCTTTCAATCATAGTGGCCTTTACTCAGCCGCAGCCAATCCGCACTCGGTTCCCTCCCACCGGCGCTGTCCAGTGTTGCTGTTTGGACTCCACCCCGCACAGCCGCCGCCGGTCGCGTCACTTCTGGTTCGGTCCAAAATGGCGACCGCGACGTTAGAAGAGGGAGGCGGAGAGGCGAGCGCTTGGACTGTGTTGACATATCGGCTGTTCTCTACGCTAACAAAGCCTCTGGGGAGGAATGGGGCACCCCGGCTGAGGTAAGTCGGGCGGAGAAGGAGTTGGGGGCTCTGCGTTCGGGTTCTCCTGGGGGACAGAGGTGGTCAGGAGGGCACAACGTGGGGAGGACAATTGCACTCTGCTGCGCCTGGGTCTGCTGTGTAAACTTTCACATTGTCTCTGCCAGCTGATTGGTTGCTAGGGATAACCGGTCCTTTTCCTACATCATCTCCCTGTGGGGCTGCTAACCACAACCACCGGGTACCCGCCTCCTTCCACTGAGTCCATCTGCCGGGTCATGTAGTCATCTGTGCCCTGCATTTGTATGGCAGCCAGTGTGATCGGATGTACTGGTCGGCACGCTCCTTTCTGTCACACTAGTTGCTATGGGTGACGGCTCTGCTTGGCTTTGCGGCTCAGTTCAAAAAGTTGACACACTGGGAGCCTAAGTGACAGTCATTGTCAGTTGAGATGGGAAAATGACAGTCACCATGCACCCAGGTGGGCAACTCCGGCCGTCCAGCTGTTCTTTAACTACAAATCCCACCATGCTTCTGCCTCTGGGAGTCATGCCTGTGGCTGTCAATCTTGCATTGCCTCATGGGACTTGTAGTTCCACAACAGCTGGCGTTGCCCACCCCTGCCATTCATATTATAATTGATCGTACAGTCATCTTTAGCTGTGCCATCAGCTATGTACTGATTTGATACTGATTGAATGTCTTGCTTAGGTTTGTCTTTGGACAGTCTCCTTTTAGCTTTAGCGAATCTTGATAAAGATTGTATAGTGTATGGGCGGCTTTAGAGACTGGTGTTAGAGTGTATCTAAATCCAATAACAAAAATGTCATATAATACACAGCTTACCAATTTGTAGATGTGGTGGCTGCATTCGTTTTCTTTTTTAAGCTTTTTCCTTTTATCGTTACCTGATCCCGCCGGTGGGTCGTTACTTTCAACGTCCTTTAATAGATTGAGCTGTCCAGCAAAAGTGGCAGCTAGAGGGCTGGGACAAACCATTTTACACTGACAGGGGTGTCTAAAGCCTATCCTTGGATAAAAAAAAAAAAAACTCCACCTGCAGTGGGGCCACCGCTCTACTGCAAGGGTTAATTGCTCATGTTGTCTAGGGCAGGGGTGGCCAAATCCAGCCCTCCAGCTGTGCTTTAACTGCAAATCCCAACATGTTTCTGCCTCTGGGAGTTATGCCTGTAACTGTTATTCTTGCAATGCCTCATGGGACTTGTAGTTCCACAACAGCTGGGGGTTTGGAGCTGCCCCCCCCTTGGTCTAGATGGATTCTTTAAAGCAGTTTTACTTGTCTGATCCCTACTCTGGTATCCGCTCCGTCGTGATACAAAAAAAACATTTTAACCAAAACTGTATTTAATTGTTAATTGACTGGAGAAGTGCTTCTCATTGGTCGGCACGGTCACCTGACGGGGGGGAGGGGGGAGACTGGGCCAGATTTGAGAGGGTAATTCTATTTTCCCAAATTGCTTAGGAAGTGAACAGTGCACATTGTGTGTGTTGGAGAGTTCTGCTGCCCCGGCTACCGCATTAAGACACACAGTGGGATGTGGGCATCACACACAAGCACGATGCCCTATGCATGTGTTTATTCGCATGCAGATGGCGGGGGTTGGTTTTAATTTCAATTTATTTTACTTTTTTTTTTTTCTCCGTTATTAATTTTTTAAACATTTTATTAATTTGTTATGCTTTTATTAAGCTGTATTTTTTAATCTTTCTTTTTTTCCACTATATTGCTATTTTTTGTGATAGCGTTTGGAGGTGACAGGCTCTCTTTCTATAGAGCTTGCCCTCAATACAGGAGATTGAGCACTGTATTGGATCTTCTGTACTGATCCTCATATGTGACAGCTGAGCTAGAAAGGTTGTGAGTACAGCAGTCCTGTGTCACTGATCACACAGAGCGGAGAACAGACGTTTTCCGCTCTGCTCCCCCCTCTCCATCCTGAAATCATTGCCGTGGTCTCGAGTCCCCCAGAAGATCACGGCATCACCATGTAAAAATAAAGGGAACAAAAGCCTAAAAAAACCCCAAAGCAAATGCAGCCACCATATCTGAGGAACAATAAGCTGGAATATATTACATTTTTATTTTTGGGTTTAGATACGCTTTGCAAATTGAGCCCTTTGTGTCCATCATTTGTCTGGAGGTGTCCATAGAGGGCAGAAGATTGTTTGTATATAGGCACCTACAGTCGTCTCCTGACCATCTCCAGAGAAAGAGATCACCCATATGTTGTCTTCTTCTTGTCAGCCACTTCTGCACTGCTGGGATATCTGTGTGTTCATTTACATGCAATCAGATTATTATTATTTGTTATTATTATTCATAATATTTATTATTATTCAGGATTTATATTGCCCCAGCAGTTTGCATAATGCTTTACAATATAAAGGGAGGCCGCACAGTTACTATACAACTCAATACAAGATGTTAGTATTGCCCTGCTCATAAGTGCTTGCAATCTAAAACAGGGTGGGCAACCTCAGCACTACAGCTGTGGTGAAACTACAAGTCCCAGGAGGCATTGCAAGACTCGGCTATCAGACATGGCTCGCAGAGACATGATGGGATTTGCAGTTTCACCACAGCTGGAGTGCCGATGTTGCCTAGTACTGATCTAAGAGGAAGAGCGAGCGATACAAAAGTTAGCGGTCATGGATGAGCTGCTAGAGGAAGTAGAAGTTGGGTTTTTATTAGAACAGCATAGGCCGGGGCTGGACAAGCTTCAGGTAGCCAATGTGCCTCAAAAATTACAGGTGGCGCCTAACTTTTTTTTTTTTTTTCTCTAGTTGTTTTCAGTGTAGCTGCTTCCTAAAAATAAATCCTGCCGGGTCCTGTATTGGAGACAAGTTTCCAGGGATTGATGGTGAATTTACTGCCCTGACCTCAAAGCTACAAGTCTGGGAATTAAGGGAGCATTGTGTTGGCCAAAATTTGTCAGAGGTACAAGTTTAGGGGCTGTTCAGATTACAAGTCTACGGCTGGCCACAGACCTTACAACCATCGCAAGACTTTTGTCTTGCGATGGTTGTAAGGTAATTAAAAAAACTTACGATCTGTCCATCTTGGACAGGCAAATCGTACTTGCGATAATCGCAACCCCCCCCTCATCCCCCCGCTGAGGGGTGGGCTTCCGATGACCGCAATGCTGAACGGACAGTGTGCGCTTGCGCACACCGGCCCGTGCGGCTTTTATCTTGCGAACATGCCACAAACCAGCCGAAAATCGTACGAGTCTCGGCTGGTTTTCGAACATGCTCGCAAGTCAAAAGTCGTGCGACCGTATAATAGAAACGGTCGTACGCCTTCCACGCACCTTGCGATAATCGTACGATTGCGGGAGTTCCCGCGATTTATCGTACGATTATCGCAAGGTGTGTGGGCACCTCAAGTTTGATTTACTTGATTATACCATTTTTATTTTAGTTTTCACTCGAGTAAAGATGAGAGAGTCACACTTGCTAAGATCGTCCATTTGAAAGTGTATTTAAATCAACTTTTAAGTTGTGACGGAGAACCTGACAGGCGGACCTGATTGGAAAGCCCATGTGAAAGGGGCATCAATACAGATTTTTTTTTTTTAGATGGGGGGCTGTATGGTATATAAGTGGACCTTCTATTTTAAAGAAGAACTGTGGGAATGTAAAAAAATGTAGGACTACCCCCTGCCCTGCAAGTGTTGAGTGCTCGTTCTGTCTGGGTGCTTCATATAAAGCAGATATATGCCTGATCCTCGCTTCCATGGTGGTCACCTCCACTCCTGCTGTGGAATGTCCCTCGGTGTCCTCGCGTCTTATTATTATTATAGAGGATTTATATAGCGCCAACAGTTTGCACAGCGCTTTACAATATAAGGAAGACATTACAATCACAATACAAATCAAGACAAGATGGTAAGGAGGGCCCACAATCTAAAAAGGGATGGGGGGGGGTGATACATGAGGGGGTAGCTGTGTGGGGATTAATTCAAGTCAATGCATTAGATGCAATGACCTCAGTGGTCATATTAATGGGAGAAAAGGCTGCACGGACTGGTCTAGCAGCCTGGTGGGACCAAGGATCAGTTGAGTCTATCTGCTTTTTTTGAGGCACCTAGACCAAACCAGCACTTAACCCTTGGAGCACAGGGGTAGCTTTACTGCAAAGGTAAGGTTTTGTTTTTAATCTTTAATGCAAGGTCCATTATAGGCCTCATTTACACCGCTGCACTCATCCATGCATCTGTGTTTTTGTGCCCTGGGAGGGACGGGTGTTCTGCGCAGCCACCTGGTAAAATCATTGGCGGGCTATGGATGCATCACGGACTGACTGAGGGGGATTTATCAAAAATGGAGCAGATGTGAATGGCAACCAATCGGCTTCTCTCTTTCATTTTCAAATCTTCAATGACCAAACCTATGACCTTTTATATTGCAATAAGCTTTGCGGAGCATAGGGCTCTAGCATTGTGCAAAGTTTCATGAGTTTTTAAGTAACAGTGCACTGGTTACAGGCATTTCAGTTTGGTCAGTGAAGATTTGAAAATGAAAGAGAGAAGCCGATTGGTTGCCATTCACATGTGCTCCATTTTTGATAAATTTGCTCCAGTTTTATTAAATTCTCCCCATTGTGTTCAAATGTGTTCATCTGTCAGTGTATGGCTGTGAAGATCCATGAAGCCGCATTCTGTTATTGATTTTTACCAAGCATCTGCATGGAACACCAGTGCCTCTTTGGGGGCCAGAACACAGCCCCCTGTACAGATTTGTGCACCCGTGTATAGGAAGCCTTAAAGTGAACCTGCACCCAGACATGGTGATGGGATAATCAGTGATAACCTGTTTACTGTTAGTTCAGTGAAGAATACCAGAGGCCACCTGAAACTGGAAGAGGGAAGGTTTAATATTAAACAGCGACTGGGATTCTTTACTGGGAGAGCTGTAAAATTGTGGAACTCCTTTCCACAGGCAGTGGTATCAGCTGAGAGTTTGGAATCATTCAAGACCCATCTAAATACTTTTCTCAG